CATATGCTACAGGAAGTAAAGAAACTGAAAACACTAAATTTGCAAATTCCCAAAATAATAATAATGATAATAATATTCATACCATCTATAGAAATAGATATGCATTTACTCCTATATTTGCATTGGTATTTGGAAGGAAATTAACTCTAACTGTTTTCATCTAATCTTTTAGGGAATGGAAATAATGGCTTTTGGCTAATATCTATACACAAATATGTAAATATGGCTATATTTATATATATATATATATATGACTGTAATATAGTTTTTAAACTGAAAGTTTGTAATATATGATACATTTGAAATGCTCTGGTTGTACTCAAATACAGTTTTACCCTTATGAGTTGTCTGTCATGGTCTGATGAGTGGAATATAGAATAGATGGAGAATATATAAATAGGCCTATATTGAAGTGGATAGCCAATTAGAGTCTAAAAAAAGAAGCTCAGGAGGGGGCAGCATAAAAATATAGTAGCCTAACACCAGACCCACTGCAGACTAAAAATAAACGCTGTTATTTGAGAAGCGTGGTGTGTAACGTGCGCGAGTCCTCAGCTGCTGCAGCTGCACTGCTTTTGTGCGTCCATGACCGAAGAAGCTAGAAACACAAAACGTGGCCCGAAAGTTACCTTCTAGTTAGGTATAATGAATCTAAATAATAATTATTCCACTTTAACTCGTTGTGCATTAAAAATATATATATATATATATATACACACACACGCTAATACAGATAAAATGTGGGTAAATAGCTTAGCAACTCAGTGAGACCACTATGGCGAAGACTTGCTCTTAATATTCATGGACCAGTTTATCACCTTTGAAAGACTGTCATGCTACGTCACCAGGACCTTATTAATGTTCACGAGTCAAGCCTTTAACATCAAACTTTTACCAGTCGATGCTGGAATATCCTAAGCAATATTTATGAAGCACGCCTTCGCCATAGTAGAGTTTGTCATGTTTCCGTCGGCGGCGCACAGGAGGATCTGCTGGGTGTGTGTGATTGCGTCCTGAACCCGAAAAGCAACAACTTGAAAAGAGCTGGTTACTGACAGCCCAGCCATCACCCTCCCGTCTGTGAGTATTTAAAATACTAATACCATGCTGATCTTTTCTAAACATTTGCATTCTGCTTGTTGAGTTTCATTGTGTTACGGTTTAGCATACATTCAGGTTGCATGATAACCCCTCTCTCACCTTCACTAATGTTACCAATATAAAGCAAAATCGTATACGCACACTGCAACTTCAAATGATCATATTCATAATGATCTACTTGGCTTTAGAAGCTTGCATTGAAACCTGGAATTTGAATTGAAAATCTCATAGTAGCCTATTTTTACATACATACTAATAAAGTAAACAAAATGAATCGATTTAAACTAAAACAGTCTGTCAGTAACCAAGAAGAATGTATAATGTACAGTAATAAAACGTAAGATTAGAACGATTAAAGCCATTTCATTTTAGCAGAATTTTAAATAGTATAACTCATAAGCAGCTCTAGCAATCAAGCCAAGATCTAAAAATGATTATTCATAAAAGCAGTGGCTTGATTTATGTAACATAAACTAAATAAGTTATTACACCTTAAATATTCTATTAACGCAATTCATTTTTAATATAATATAACATGCATGATATTTTTACTGCTTCAGAAAAATATCACACCTTAAAATTGTTCCTTTTTGTTGGATTTTGAAAATTAACTTTTTCCCCCCTGAATATAAAGTCATCACATGTCATTCTAACAGTAAGCTTTGTGGAAAGGGGGGATTGAAGCACTCAGCGTTAGTGCGAGAGTAATGTCACCCTCACGGATGTTCTTCCTGTCTGCTGTGCTCTGCGTGGCCCTTTTTCATCTAATTTTGGGTCAGAACTGCTCGGAGCACTGTAAAGCATGCGGGGGCCCAGAGAAAGACCAGTGCCTTCAGTGCCACACTGGATTCATCCTGCATGACAACCTGTGTGTGGGTGAGTGAGATGAACAGACTGTACGCTTCATTCACCTCATGGTCCATTTCATTCTGAAGTTCACTTCTACACTCTTACGCTGACAGATGTTGATGAATGTGGTACTGATCTGGATCAGTGTCTCGACAACACGTACTGCTTCAACACCCATGGCTCTTATGAATGCAAAGGTCAGTGTGATTTACCCTCAACACACAGATCACCAGAGCAACACATTTTACACTTGCACTTCATTTGTGGTATAATACTGTATACATATTATTTTATTATTTGTCTTTTATCAGGATGTGATAAGGCCTGTGTTGGCTGTATGGGTGGAGGACCTGCCCGCTGTAGGAAATGTGCTGCTGGTTACAGATCATCAGGCATGAGATGCATAGGTGAGTTATTCCAGATAACTAGTCATGTATTGTGTTGTTTTTCAACCTTTGTAGTATAAAATATGGGTAGTTGTAATCATTTAAAAAAAAAAATTAGATGTTCTAGAAATGCTTTGCTTAATGGTCATTATTTCTGAATGTTCTTTGAAACTTTAATTTTTAATTTTATTTAATTAATAAACGTATTATTATTTATTTATTTATTTGGTTATGTATATGTTAAGGGAATATTCCATTTTATAATTTTAAAAGCATTTTGGAAACGTTAGTTTTGAGTGTTTTCTGAACATTCTGAAACAAGTATTAACATTTAAAAAAAACGTTAGATGAATGTCCAGCTAAAATGTTTCAGAAATACAGTAAAACATTCCATGAATTACGCATAAATAATGTTTTGGTGCTAATGTTTTGAGAACATTATTCAAAAACCAGTTAACTCGTAATTGAACATTCTATTAATATTACTGGAGAAGCGTTTGTTCGTAACTTAGAAGTAACTTTGCCAGATTGTTAGCCAAAGTTCTGAGATTGTGCCTTGTTAGCTGGGTAAATACAGGCTGTAAACAGAAGGAAGTATTTTTAGGTAATTTGAGAACAGATATCTTGAATGTTTTTGTCAGCTGAAAATGTGTCATCTGGGATTGTTGTTGGCTAAATTATGCAAACATTGGCCTGACAAACATCAGCATTCTAAATGTAAAAATGAACAGAATTTTAAATAAAGTTGAACTTCTAAGTACGTTCTATGTTATTTTACTTTTATAAATCCCATCTTAGACTTTTATGTAACTGAATAACTGTAGAAAAGTTCCTTAATCTTGATTGCCGTACTATTTATAGCTGGACTGATTAATTTAAAATATATGATAGTTTTGTTTGGGAATTTGCTGCTGTTGTATCAAGCTACTAAACACACATGAACAGAAAATGAATCTCTTATGTAATGACACAAATTAGATCTTCTGCATGAGATGTTTCCATCTTGTGGCTATAAGAAGCATTTCCACCAAGAATGTTAACAACAATTAAAAAAACTCAAACTAATTCAATTTTTTTCCAATAAATATATTATTTTAAATATTTAGTGTTTTGGAAAAGTGTTTCTATAATTGTAGCTGTTTATCTATCTATCTTATCTCATTTTTTCAATTTGCATTTCATGTATGTTTGGTCTGCAGACCAGAAATTACAGCTGTACTTCGTTTCTCCTGCAGATATAGATGAGTGTGCCGAGGAAGTGTTGGCCTGTCCTGGTGTCAATGTGTTCTGTGTGAATACAGAGGGCTCTTTTCTCTGTCAGTGTGCAGTGGGTTACACACGCAAAGGCGACACCTGTGAGAGGAGCCAGACAGCAGGTGAGCTGGAACACATCATTTCACTTTCATTCTCACACGTATTAAATAAGAGAGCCTGTGTTCAAGTGTTATTTTTGTATCAATGAGTATTCGTATTTAGATTTTTTTCTTTTTCAGTTTTAGTATTTTTATTGTGGTTTTGTTATTTGTATTAGTTGTTTTAAAATATATCTATATTTATTTTATTAATTTGATTTCAGTTTTAGTTATTTTAGTTTATCAAGTTAAAATAAGTGAAAGTGGCAAGTAGCTGAATTAAAATGTTTAAGTTTTTTAAAAAAGTTTATTACAAGTAATCAAAATGTATTTTCCCAATGGTTTGAGTTTAGTTAACTATAAAACCCTTCAAGCACACAAGTTGCAGTATTGTATTACTCGGTATATTGTGCTTGTTGCAAAACCTGTTCTGCAGCTTTATTGTCTTGAGAGGCAACATGCTATTAAACGAAAGTAAAATGTAAACATGAAACTGAACTTATTTTCTTTAATGTCTTTTTGTACAAAATTAATCAGTGCATGTTATTATATATATATATATATATATATATATAAATTATTAAATTATATAAAGTATTTATAATTATATAATTGTTTTCTGAAATATTGTTAATCTTCATCGTGCAAAATTTGAAGGAATATTAGCTGTAGGTATACCACTGTTCTACTAACATGTTTGACAATATAACCAATGCATTTCAACAAAAACCTTTATTTAGTGGAAAACACTAAAATAATAAAAAAACAAAAAATCTAAATTAGAGAACAGTAACCACTGTAGCACAAGATTACAACAAAATTACAGCTAAAATTTTGGAGGGTTACAGATGTCAGAAATTAGTAGTAATTGTAGAGCCCCTCGCTTTGAATGACTTCAGCACATTTGCAGCTGCAGGACATCACTAGTTTCTCTCACTGTGCTGGTGTGATCTTGGTCAACTCTTTTTCCACTCGCTTCCAAAGTTCGGTGACTATAGTGGGTTTCTTAGCCATAACTTTGTCAACAATGATTTTCCAGAGATTTTCAGTTGAGATTAAATCAGGACTCTGGGCTGGCCATTTCATTATTTCAGTGTTCTTGTCTTCAAGAAACTGCTTTACCCGTTTTGCAGTGTGACAGGAGTATTGTC